TGGGGGGGCCTGGTTTCTGGGGGGTGGGGGGACTGGGGGTGCCGAGGGGGCCCGGGCCCTACCCAGCAAGGGGAGACGTTGGGCAGGGGGCTCAGACCCGCCAGCTGGAGGCAGCGGATGGTGAGAAGCTTCCGGTCCAGGGTTAGGTGGATGGATGGCTTCTCACCCGCAGAGGCCGGGTCCAGACCCTGCGAGGGGAGGACCCGAGGATGCTGGACCAGGGGAGGGAGGGCGGCCCGGGGAGGGAGGGCGACCCGGCGACGGATGGGCTGGGTTGGCCTTCGTTAGCCAGTCAGAAGGCCGAGTGTGTGGGGGGACCCCCATCATCTCTCCCTCATCATCCCCAGGTCTGAACAGCGTCCCTGAGCTTTTTGTTTTCTCAAGGTTGGTACTTTGCCACTTGAGCCACAGCTCCAGTTCTGGCTTGCTGCTGGTTCATTGGAGAGCTCAGTGACTCAAGGACTTGTGTGCGGGTGTGTACACGCACGCCAGGGCTGGCTTTGAACCGCGATCCTCAGATCTCAGCCTTCTGAGTAGCTGGGGTGACAGGTGTGGGCCACCCGGTGCCCAGTGTCCAGTCCTCACTGGGGCCGAGTGAGCCCAGGCCACATCTTTCCAACCTCTATCCGTCCTGCAGCAGTGGAGGATGCTGGGGAAGGAGGTCAGGGAAGCAGGCCCAGGGGACAAAGACGCAGCTCGCACACATCTCAACCTGATGTTCCTTTGGTGGCATTAGCATCGTTTTTGAAAGAGGGAAAAGAAATGTGACTTGTCTTTCAGTTGGTCCAAAATTCAAAGGCTCTTACGAGATTCTTTTGACCTAATCTCAAACACTGTGGAGAGACAGACTGGTTCATTTTTTTCGGGGTCCGTTTATTTTTGGCCTGTTCTTCTGTGAGTGGGAATGATGAACGCAGCAACCCCATTTTTTTCCCTCATTGCTCTTCAGTCGATTCATTTTTATGTTCAAGTGACCTGGACTTATTGTTAACGTGGGATTCTTTGCAACGTCTTTTCCAGATGGGAAACCCATGTTACGCCAGGGAGACACGGGGGACTGGATCGGCACGTTTCTGGGTCACAAGGGTGCTGTGTGGGGCGCAACGCTGAATCAAGATGCCACGAAAGCGGCCACGGCGGCTGCGGATTTCACCGCGTAAGTGCCCGGGGTGCCGTGCCCGGGGTGCCGGCTCCTCCCGTGCCCGTGTCCCGTCAGGACCAGTCCTGGCCTCGCTCAGTTTCTAGGTGTCCAGAGCAACAGAATATGGGATGTTGGAGCTCACTGCTGCTCCCGCTTTGGTCCCCTGCACTGCTTTGTCTTCAGCCGTCCTGAATTCTCCCAGGTTGGGGTGGCTTTCTCTTGTCTTACTCGGGAACCTAGGGACGTGTGTGAGTCTAGACCATCATCAGCGTCAGCCTTGTCCTGTGAAAGCCCTTCTTCTGTCTCTCTCCCGCTTTGGGACCCACAGTCATAGTCCCAGAGGTTTGTCGCTTCCCTTTTTACCCCTCAGCTGATGTTAACTACTTAATTACTCTAGTTTTCTATTTCTTAGATGGTATTTGTTAGGACCGGGTGGCCATTTTACATTTGCCAAATAAGTTACTTGGGAAAAGTCTTCTAAAGTACAACAGAGGGCTAGTGAATTCTAGATCTTGACTTTGGTTTGTGGAGTAGTTGCTGTAAGTTTAGAGTCTTGTTTTTTTACTCAGTTCATTACCGGGGATGCAGCGTGTTGGTTTTGTAATGAATTTAGTAAATTAGATTTAATATACAAAACATACACAATGCTACAGACCATATAGACACTTGGTGGGGAGTATTTTAAAGTATTCGGAGACCTGATGGTGGTGCGCACACCTGTAATCCCGGCATTGGTAACACTTAGGAGGCTGAGGCGGGAAGACGAGAAGAAAGAATTCAGAAACACCAGAGAAGTTTATTATGGTAGTTGGGTTATAAAGCTGATGGCAATGAACTCCTGCTTGATAAATTGCTGTTTTCTCTTCCTTTTTTTTTTTTTTGTGGTCGGTTGTGGGGTTTGAACTCTGGTTGGGCGCTGTCCCTGAGCTCTTTAGCTCAAGGCGAGCGCTCAACCGCTTGAGCCACAGCACCACTTCCAGTTTTCTAGTGCTTTATTGGAGTCTCACAGACTCTTATCTGGCTTTGAACCTCGATCCTCAGATCTCAGCCTCCTGAGTAGCTAGGATTACAGGCGTGAGCCACTGGTGCCTGGCTTTCTCTTTGTCTTTTCTCTTTTTTTCCGTTTTCTTTTGGTCCTGAGGATTTAACCCAGGACGTTACACTTCTAGGCAAGTGCTTTGCCACTGAGCTACATCCCAGCCCTAAGGTACTGTGGTAAACATAGGTGTGGGGGTAGCCAGTGCAGACATCGCATGCAGAGAGCTTCTGATTATGCTCTGGGCCAGCTCATGTGCCAGGCAGTGTATTCTGTGTGCATTCCTCTCCCCCCCCCACACTCTTGTAGAATCAAGAGCTGCTCCTCCCAGTTGGACAGATGAGTTCAAGTTGGTGTTAGGAAACTGGAGGAGAAAGGAAGCAGGTGGACTCGATCTTCCACCGGTGAGGGCTGTTTATTGAGATAGAGCAGCTTCCAGTGGGCTTGGAGACTGAGCGAAGAGCTGGGGCAGGAGTTGGGTTTTTATGGGGTCTGAGCAAGGAGACGGTGGTTATGTAACATCTTTTTCACAGGCAGAGGAAATTAGAGAAGTCTTACGGAGGCATTTAGTCTTGTTTTTGTTTTTGTTTTGCTGGTTCTGGGGCTTGAACTCTGGGCCTAGGTACTGTCTCTCAGCTCTTGAGCTCAAGGCTAGCATTCTACCACTCAAGCCACAGCGCTACTTGCTGTTTTCTGGTGGTTTATTGAAGATAAGAGTCTCACGGACTTTCCTGCCCAGGCTGGCTTTGAACCCCGATCCTCAGATCTCAGCCTTCTGAGTAGCTGGGATGACAGGCGGGAGCCACTGGTGCCTGGCTAGTCTTTTTCTTTAGTTTTAAGTATTTTCTAACGTTGAGAAAAGATTCTAAGGCAGAAGATTGGTAATGAATGCACTCATAAAAATTCACATCCAGTGTCCCTGGTAGTTAAAACGAGGCTTGCTGCTGTTTTCTAATGTTGGCCAGGTTGAACATCCTTTTAATCATCCTCCCTCCCCCCCCCCCATTTTAGCAAAGTGTGGGACGCGGTCTCGGGGGACGAGCTGATGACCTTGGCGCACAAACACATCGTCAAGACGGTGGACTTCACGCAGGTACCACTGCAGATCGCACGGGGGTGCCGCTCGGGGGTGAGCACCGGCCCCCACGCGGGGTGCCCGGGCTGCGGACTGCGCGGGGGTGCCGCTCAGGGGTGAACACCGGCCCCCACGCGGGGCGCCCGGGCTTCCACTCCCAGCAAAGCCAAAAAAATGAAAACAAAAATGAGACCATCGAGAGGCTTAAATGTCTGTAGAGTAAAACGACGAATGCTTTATTCTGGGCTCTTTAGCATGCCTTGTTTTCTTGGTGATTTGATCGTTGCGTATAAGGCTGCACGGGCTTGTTTGGGATCCTGGGTCTGCCGCCCGTCCAGCGGTAGACAGCTGTCTACAAAGCGCCAAGACCTTCCCTGATGATTTCTGCGAGATCTGAGACGTGGGGGCGGCCCCGCGGGGGGAGGGGCCTGGTCAGGACGGCCCCTGGGGACGTGGCAGCCACCTCTGTCACCTTGCTGCCTTTCCCACAGCAGTCCCGGGTCTGGGCGTTTCACACAGAACTACAAGCGCGTGCAGTTCATGAACGCTTCGCTTCTTCGCTTTCAGGACAGTAATTACTTGTTAACCGGGGGCCAGGACAAACTACTGCGCATCTATGACTTGAACAAACCAGAAGCAGGTGAGCAGGGGGTGCGTGTTGCTCTCTGGGTTTATGTTCCTTCATTGCTTTTTTCTTTTTTGGTTGGTCGTGGGGCTTGAACTCTGGGCCTGGGCACTGTCCCTCAGCTCTTCAGCTCAAGGCTAGCGCTCTACCACTTGAGCCACAGCGCCACTCTGGCATTTTCTGCTTATGTGGTGCTGAGGAATCGAACCCAGGGCCTCATGCATGCAAGGCAAGCGCTCTACCACTGAGCCACCTGCCCAGCCCTTTGTGAGTTCTTGGGGATATCATTTCTAGTCCAAGTGCACCTCTTGGTATGTATTGCTTTTCACAATTCCCTAGCGATCTGTGTGTGTGTGTGTGTGTGTGTGTGTGTGTGTGAAATGGACGCGTGCTTTATTAAACGGGCATCTTTGCAGCTGACCTTGATTAATGCTCCAGCCACGTGTAACATTTCAGTGTCTGGGCTCCTGTGATGGACAGGCTAGTGCCTATAAATTGAACTGTTCAGGAGGCTGGGATCTGGAGGATCACGGGTTCACAGAAAAGTCAAGAGACTCCATCTCTAAAATCGGCCAAAAAGCCCGGCGTGGCTCCGTGCCCGTCGCGTGACTGTGCTTGGCCGCCACGAGGCCCCGAGTTCAAACCCCAGGACCGCCACGCACAGAGCGCAGATTGCCCTGATCTTACAGTGGACTGGCCACCGCCGTGAAGCCGCTCTGCGCATGGGCTGACGCGGTTCAGGGCTGTTTTATGTTCCCGCCATGCTGTGTCTGATGAGGATTTGGAGACTTTTCTTTCTAAGCTGCTGGGGCACCCTCCATTGCTTTGCTTTCCTCCCCTGTCCCGACTTTGGGCTTTTCCCCATGTGTTCCTCATGAGGGCGCGGCAGAGGGCGGGGTAGCAGTAGCCTCTTGTGCATAGGGAGCACATCTGTTAGCCCCGCCAGGTCTCCTCTCCCCGCGTTATGTGGGGTTCGTGGTTACCGGTGGGTCTCCGTTTCCCCAGCCGTGTGGTGCACACCCGTAGTCTCGGCTGGGCCCTCTCAGCCGCGGGCAGCCGGATCGTGTGTGCGTGTGTGCGTGCGTGGGCTTCCCGTCTGGCGGTGGACTTCCCTAAGGAAATGGCGGGTTTGAGGTGAGGGGGTGAAGTGTGGCGGTCCCCCTTACCGCGGGGTGCGCCCTGCTGCTTGTGCAGAGCCCAAGGAGATCGGCGGGCACACGTCCGGCATCAAGAAGGCCCTGTGGTGCAGCGGCGACAAGCAGATCCTCTCCGCCGACGACAAGACCGTCCGGTGCGTGGCGCCCCTCGCGCGAGAACTGCGTTCCCCCGGATCAGGGGCTCCCGGGCTGGGGGGGAGGGGCCTGGGCCTGCGCCTGCTGGCGGCCCTCCATGCTGCCCCGTACTGCCGTGCACAGAGCAGATCTGGGGAGGACGGAATTCCCTCCCAGCCCCAAGCCAGCAGGGGTGCAGGCCCAGCCCTGGTCACCCGAGGTCCACTACGCAGGTGCGTGCAGCCCTCCGCGTGGCACGCCACGGATATTCTTACGATGACACGTGGCCGTCCAGCAGCCTGCCCCTGGGGCCGGGCGTTTGAGGATGTTCTCTATGGGGTCCGCGGTCCTGCAGGAGCAGGGGGTCGTGGCTCCGTAGTCAGAGCCATGGGCCCACGCCCCTTGGTTTCCGTGCGCGCCCACAAGCACGCACCCTGTCTCTCCCCCCTCTCCTCCCGCAGCCTGTGGGACCACGCGTCCATGGCGGAGGTGAAGTCCCTGAGCTTCAGCATGTCGGTGAGCAGCATGGCGTACATCCCCGAGGGCGAGATCCTCGTGCTCACCTACGGACGCACCATCGCCTTCCACAGCGCCCTGAGGTACGTGTGCCCCCCGTGCCGCGCCCTCCCTCCCCACCAGCCCTGCCCCTTCCTGTGCGCACGGTGCGCCAGGCTGGCGAGTCCCGTGCTCTCCCACGTTCGCGCCATGCCCACCTTGTGCGTCGGGCAGGTGCGGGCTTCGGGTGATCCACGCGCGCCATCGTGAAGCAGGAAGGCCTTCGCCGCTTTTTCCGTTCCCTGTGTCTGTGTCTGTGGGTTTCCCTGGGACTTCTGGACTGGAATGAACATAATCCTGACCTTTTTTTTATTATTATTAAGAAGCATTCTTGTCATCATGCGTGTCTTTGAGAACCACGAGCGAGCCCTGTGGTGGCGTGGGGGAGCAGAGATACCCCAGCCGAGCAGGGCAGTGCATGCGCTTAGTCCCAGCGCTTAGAGGAAGGGGGGCGGTGAGCCTGGGGTACACACACCCGGGGGTCCCAGGCTCAACGCCAAACAGGGCCCGGAAAGGCGGCGTGTTACCGGTCGGTTCTAATGACTCCAGACCGACTGGCAGGCCCCGGGTGCCCGCGGCCGGAGGTGTGTGTCCGTGTCGCAGGGTCACGCGTCCGTCCGTCCTTCCCTTGCTGGCGGCAGGGGAAGGGCTGAGCGCTGAGCGCCTCCTCCTCCTCCTCCTCCTCCTCCTCCTCCTCCTCCTGTCCCTCAGCTTGGATCCCATCAAGTCCTTCGAGGCCCCCGCCACCATCAACTCGGCCTCGCTGCACCCCGAGAAGGAGTTCCTCGTGGCGGGGGGCGAAGACTTCAAGCTGTACAAGTACGACTACAGCAGCGGGGAGGAGCTGGGTGAGTGCGGGGACCCCATGGGATCCCCAAAACCCTCTGCTGGCCGCCCGGGGTCCTCGCTGGGACTGAGGCTGCCCAGAACACAAGGCCATGGGGGGGGGTCGTGGGCCATGGGGGGGGTCGTGGGCGGCTGGTGTTGTGTGGCCAGGGCTCTGCTTTTCCACACCTCTCTGTGTCTGTCTCTGCGTCTGTCTGTCTGTCTCTGTGTCTGTTTCTGTCTGTGTGTCTGTCTGTCTCTGTGTCTGTCTGTGTCTGTGTCTCTGTCTGTCTGTCTCTGTCTGTGTCTGTCTGTCTGTGTCTGTCTGTGTCTCTGTGTCTGTCTCTGTGTCTGTCTGTCTGGCCGTCACCCCGGTGTTCCGGGTCCCCGTGGGTGGGTGGTGGTGACGTCACGGCGGCCTGGTCCTTGCAGAGTCGTACAAAGGTCACTTCGGGCCGATCCACTGCGTGCGCTTCAGCCCCGACGGCGAGCTGTACGCCAGCGGCTCGGAGGACGGCACGCTGCGCCTGTGGCAGACGGTGGTGGGCAAGACCTACGGCCTGTGGAAGTGCGTGCTGCCCGGTGAGTGCCCGCGGCCCAGCGCGCCCAGTGCGCCTGCGCGGGGGGG